TATATATATATAAAAAGAAAAAATAAAAAAATAAATAAATCTATCTATTTCTATAGATGTTGTTCACTTATAACAAATTTTTAATTTTTTTTTCTTTTTCAGCTCATCACATCATTAAGCGATTTGAGCCTCGAAGTGGTCGACCTATAATAATTCTGGAGGATTTGATGACCCTGGTGTAGACTGACCCATTACAAACGGTGCGTGGGATTGCGGAAGAACTGGGCTTCAGTTCCCAGCGGTTTTTGGAGGTTCAAAACGTACTGGAAAAAGTTAAAGAGCTCGAAAAGTAGATGCCCCATGATGTGAACGATCGATATAAATTGTCATGTTCGAGGTTGGATCTTTGCTTTTGGGCAACCAAAACGATGAGCTACCCAGGCACATCCCAAAGGCGAGAACCTACATAAAAAAACCAAGGTTACTGTACGACGGTCAGCGGCTGTAATTTTTTGCAACCGGGCCAAACCATCACAACAGAGTTTTAATGTGAGGAAATCGACGAAATGTACCGAAAAGTACCGAAAATTGCGTCAGCAGCAGCCGGCACTGGTTAACAGAAGAGGTCCGATCCTACTCCACGATATCCTATTCCATGAATTCAGCATCGAATTTCTGCCTCACCCACCATACTTCCCAGACCTCTCGCCAACCGACTACTACCTTTAAAAGCACTTCGATAACTTTCTCACCCAGCCAGGCCTTACCAGACAGAAACGGCCTTCGTCGACTTCATCGAATACCAATCATACATTTTTATGCTGAGAGAATTGATTGACTTGTATTACATTGGCAAAAATGCATTGATTTAATATTTGTTCAAGTACGAAATACAAGCACTACAGGAAAATCCTCAAGGAGCTCTCAGATCGGTGCCTGTGCGAAAGTAGGGCGTATTTCGATCAAATTGAATAACTATTTACTGAGATATTACAGTTTGAAGTAGACTCATAAAAATGGGCAAAACTTTTGGAACCGCAGGAAAGTATTTTAGGACCCTTGATGTTTTCAGTGTTTATTTTTGATTATCCCACTTTCTTATCACATTGTCGAGTACATCTAAACGCAGATGATCTAGCTTGAACGTTTAAAGTTCATTTCTTTAGATTTGTTTACTGCCAGTCTTCAAGCATAGTCCACTGACTAATAAGAAAGTTTTTCTTCCTTATTCAGTGGAATCGGGAAAATTTAGAATATGCAGTTGGTTAGTACCTCGTCGACGAGATGGAGTGACATTTTGTTATTTTGCTCCAACTTAGGAAGAGGAATGAAATACTCTGAAAGAATTACGATTCCCAATTATGGAATGTCATTGACTTTAGGTCGATGATGACCACTATCTTGCACTGATGAGTGGCTAATGAGCCCGAAACCGGTCTGCCAGTGTGCCCGTTCCAAAATTGAAAGACATCTCTTTCAGTTGGATTACCAATTGCATATGCAGGAAATTTTCTGTGAAGATTCCTGCATTGACGCCTGTCGGATATAATCCAACGCCCATCGTGGTATTAGCCAGGGGAGTAGTTGTTTTCTGATAGGCGTCAGTCCATTCAACCTACTGTGTAGGTATCTGAGACTGGCTTGAACGTAGCACCGAAACTGTAGCACTAACGTTTATAGTTTCAATTGAGTGGGGAAAACACTTTTAAAACGGCTCGATTTGGTCACTTCAAATATGAATATCAGAGAATGGAAAAAAATTGATACTCGGTGTATAGTTGACTAAATGTCAATAAATTGACAAAAAAAATTATAGCCATTTTCCTCTCAATAATTAAATTCACTGATAAAAGCTACATTAATATGATTTTTCCTAATTGTTCTTCTTATTGCTTATAAAATTGTTATAAACAAATGCGTTGTTAATAAGATAATTTACATTATTTTTGGTAATCTAATTATGAAAATAAAGTTAATAACTGAGAGGAAAATTTTGAAAACATTTTTTTGACATTTCAAGTATTGTTTATTCAATTATCCACCAAGTATCTATTTTTTTCATTTTTTATTATTCATATTCAATAGGTTGAACTATTTTTTGTTAAAGCAATTGAATCAACTGTTTTTACAGATATTTTTTACAACTCATTTGAAATTATGAATATTATTGCTACAGTTTTGGAAGGTGTACCGTTTCTTATGAATTTTTTGCTCTTTCTCTTTGTCAAATTTTTAATGCTTGCAATGGTTCTTAAGATAATTGCAAAAAAGGAACACCTTTTTAGTTGTTCAACTGAATTGTTTATAACTGTTAGCGCAATTTGGCTTAAATCTTAGAGTACTCTGTGATCAAATGACAACTCAGGCATAATTTTTGATAAAAACGAACTGGATTTATGTGAAATGGCACTAGTGAACTAGACCATCTATATATTATTTTGATATTAATAACAGCCACATATGAAAACTTGTTTGTATTGTAGATTTGCTTTCAAATATCAATGTTTATTGTGTCTGGATTTGTTGACAATTATCTGCAGGATTTTATGTCTGACATTTCGTCTACGATGTCATCACCTTTGATGTCTACCACAGTCGTAGACGAAACATAACAACATTTGTCAAATAATAAAACATTTCTAATTTGTCACAAATATCAAAAATTCTAAGTAATTTTTGAGTACCTGAACAATGTTTAACAATAGTAGTTGATTCTACCAACATATTCCAAATAAAATTTCCAAAAGTAGTAAGATTTTCCATGTTATTTTGTCCAATGAGACTGTTCAGGTTTTATTTTCAGGTCTGCTTTAAGCTAATCAAAATGTAAGAGGTATACAGCAAAAACTAGAGATTGAGATCTATCTTTAAATCTGTAGTGGAACGCAACCCGCTTTTCACTACACAATATATTCTTTAAGCGGGAATAATGTCAGGGTTTCGTAAAAATTTAGTGATTTTCTTGCAGAAACCTGTATTAGTGAGTTTTGATTTGGATTTCCATCGAATGTCGGCCAGTTCCATTCAATTTTCTTATGTATCATTGGATTTATGGGAGTGGTTTGAAATTATATAACAATTTGCCCAATTCAATATCTGAAAATATAGCTTCTGTTAGAAACTACTATATTGTCATTAGTTAGTCGAGTTTTCTTTTGTTCCATTCTATATTATTGTTTTTCTCTACTATAAATATTCCAATATTGGGAAGATGAATTGTAGTTATTGAAAATATTGAAAT